AGGTGTGTCCCCTGGTGTGTCACCAGGTGTGTCCCCTGGTGTGTGCCCAGGTGTGACCCCAGGTGTGACCCCTGGTGTGTCCCCAGGTGTGTCCCCTGGTGTGTGCCCAGGTGTGACCCCAGGTGTGACCCCTGGTGTGTCCCCAGGTGTGTCCCCTGGTGTGTGCCCAGGTGTGACCCCAGGTGTGACCCCTGGTGTGTCCCCAGGTGTGTCCCCTGGTGTGTGCCCAGGTGTGACCCCAGGTGTGACCCCTGGTGTGTCCCCAGGTGTGTCCCCTGGTGTGTGCCCAGGTGTGACCCCAGGTGTGACCCCTGGTGTGTCCCCAGGTGTGTCCCCTGGTGTGTGCCCAGGTGTGACCCCAGGTGTGACCCCTGGTGTGTCCCCAGGTGTGTCCCCTGGTGTGTGCCCAGGTGTGACCCCAGGTGTGACCCCTGGTGTGTCCCCAGGTGTGTCCCCTGGTGTGTGCCCAGGTGTGACCCCAGGTGTGACCCCTGGTGTGTCCCCAGGTGTGTCCCCTGGTGTGTGCCCAGGTGTGACCCCAGGTGTGACCCCTGGTGTGTCCCCAGTTGTATCCCCAGGTGTGTCCCCTGGTTTGTGCCCAGGTGTGACCCCAGGCGTGTCCCCTGGTGTGTCCCCAGGTGTGACCCCTGGTGTGTCCCCAGATGTGTCCCCAGATGTATCCCCAGGTGTGTCCCTTGGTGTGTCCTCAGGTGTGACCCCTGGTGTGTCCCCAGATATATCTCCTGGTGTGTCCCCAGTTGTATCCCCAGGTGTGTCCCCTGGTGTGTCCCCATATGTGTCCCCAGATGTATCCCCTGGTGTGTCCCCAGCTGTATTTCCAGGTGTGTCCCCAGGTGTGTCCCCTGGTGAGCTCCTCTGGAGCAGAGCCCACCTGCCTCCTCCTTGCCTCACCCCCGGCAGTGACCAGGTCATGACGCCCAGTCTTTGGTTGACTTCCTTCTCCTGGTGCTGGTGCCCCTGGCAGTGCTGCCTGAATCCAGCCCTTCCCATCACTCTGGGCACTCTGCTGAGGTTTCGCTGCCCTCACCTCACCCCAAAAGCCTGCTGAGTGATAAGGGCAGTCAGCTGGCTGGGAGGGGGGAGGATGTTGTGTGGGGAAAGTTGAGGGGCTCCATCTCTCAACTTGCAGAGCCCGGTGCTGGTCAGAGCTTCCCCTTGGAATAACTGGTGTTAGCAGCAAGGCAAGGAGGAGACCAGGCCTGTAGGTGAGTCATGGAGAACCTGGGCTCACCAAGCAGGAACTGCACAAACTTTGGGGCATGGGGACTGCTGAATAATGGAAGTAATGGGGCAGGGAAAGACTCTTGTAAGAAAGGAGGAATTATGGCAGCAAAGCAGTGCCAAGAGCTGGTGTCCAGGTGGCTTTCCAGGCCAGCTCAGGGGTTGCTGTAACTGACACCAGCAGGGAAAGGAGAGCAATTCTCTCTGGTTAGATATTTAAGGAAAAAAGCAGGGTGTCTGAGTATCTGTGGTGTCCCTGCTCCCTCTGCTCATCCCGGCCAGCTGCTCTCCCCTTCAGACTCAGCCCTGAATCCTTTCTCCTGGCAGGGACTTTTACTCAAATTTTCCCTTCTTCTCATTTTTGATGGAGTCTCATAGTGCCTCCCTTCTTTGCCTGGTACTAAATACAAGCTGATTTCTCAGTTCCAAGAAACCTGATCTTTATGGCCAAGTGTAACAAACAGTACCCAGACATGTGAGACAGCCCAGAAACAGCTATTTCTGGCGGGCAGGTTTGTTCCCTCGTGTATTGGCTGCTTCCTCAGAGAAGCTGAGGTCACTGCTGAGTTTCAGACCGGAGTTTTGAGGTGAAATTTGGGAACATTCAAAAGCTGGATTTTTATTGGTAGTGGGTTTTTTGTCCCTGTCACGAGCTGGTACCAGAGGGCTCCCAGCTGTCAGGATGTCTTTGTGACTTCCCCTCCTCAACGAGGAGAGGTTTGTTAAAAAGCCCGAGCACCCACCTCTCCCAGAGGAACGGCCGCTGAGGGTTCATTTCTAAGAGGGTAGATTAAAGTACCTCCCACCACGCTCACAAATTGTTACTGAGACCAATGTTTAGTTTGCAATTAATCAATTTATTAAGGGACAATACAAACTAAGGGATCAAGGTTCAGGAGAGGTTAACTAGGTATGTATATTGGAAAAGGGATTCAAAGGGACTAAGGTTTATGAAGGCACACTCCGAAGGAGAGGTGTAAATCAATGGAGTGAAAGGGTAGGAGTTGAGCCCAGTAAATAAAGTTAAAGAGTGTGTGTGTGTGTGTGTATGTGTGTATATTTACCCTCCTTCCTTGTGTAGCGCAGTTGTCAGAAGTGCTGGCAGGCTGGGCTGGAGATCCACAGGGGGGCTGCGTCCCAGTAACCGGGGCGACCCCTCCTGCTGCTGGCAGGGCTCTGGTCCCGGGGCTCTGTGGCCGGTGCAGGCTGGGCAGGCTCCTCCGGTCCGGTTCGGTGCAGGCTGGGCAGGCAGGGTCCCCAGGAGCGGGCACAGACGTTCTCCTCGCAGCAGAGGGGCACTCAGGCAGGCTCAGGTGCTGCAGGGGGGTCTTGTCCCAGGCAGGCAGGAAACAGAGCAGGTTCTGCTCTCTTTTTATGGACCAGAGACCACTGTTTGAGAAAGTACTGTCTGAATTAGCCAATCACCATGGGCCAGGTACATATTCTGTTAGGAGCAGTTTTTAATCTATTGTTTATATTTCTGCAACCCTTGTGCTGCTTCTTTGCTCTGCACTTATCTGGTAGGGCAAGAGGCCTGTTCATTCTGTCCTTGAGTGAATCAGTGAAAAGGCGTCACTCTTGCTTTGCTGACTTGAAAGGCATTCTTTGTTTAGTCTTATGTGGGGGGGAAAAAGATGGACCGTTCCCCACAGTCCCTTTCACCTGCTCTCTGAACTGGTCGCCCAGTTCATGGGTGAGAAGACATGGAGAGAGTCCAGAGGAGGCCACTGAGATGATGGGAGGGCTGGGGCAGCTCTGCTCTGGAGCCAGGCTGGGAGAGTTGGGGTGTTCAGGCTGGAGAAGAGAAGGCTCCAGGGAGACCTTAGAGCACCTTCCAGGGCCTGAAGGGGCTCCAGGAAAGCTGGGGAGGGACTTGGGACAAGGGCAGGGAGGGAGAGGACAAGGGGGGATGGATTAAAACTGGAAGAGAGGAGATTGAGGTTGGACATGAGGAGGAAATTCTTGAATGTGAGGGTGCTGAGACCCGTTGGCCCCTGGGCTGTGCTGCCCACCTCCTCCATAGCACCAGTGCAGGATGAGGACAAGGCAGAGCCCCTTTGGAGCTGGGAGGCTTCTAGGAAACTGGGAACCTCATATTTAGCAGGAACCCATTCTGTTGCTCTGGGGAGTTCCCTTTTCCCCTGCTGGCTGTTTCCCCCAGCCAGTACCAGCCTCGACCCAGCCTCTGCTTTGTCTGGATTCATTTTAAGGCAGATTGAGTGCCCTAGGAGTCCTGTTGCTTTTCAGGTTTTCTTTTCTGTGCCTCCATTTTATCTTTTAATATTTAAATGACAAGGTTTGTTTCCTATATCCCAGAAAACCTGTCACTGAATTGCCAAGGGATTACTACTGAAAGAAAGGAGTAACCATGGCAACCAGACATGCAGTATTTTGTTTACCACCTAAACCTGAACTTCCTAGGGACTCTGCCCACGGTCTGGCTCAGCCACCTGAGCCTCCACACAAGCCTTTTGTGGCTCCTGGTCCCATCCCTTGGCCAGGAGCTCACTGGGCTCTTCCTCCTGCTCTGTGGAGGGTTTCATGGACCCACTGCCAGGTCTCTTTTCTGTTTCTGGCATGTAGCTGATCCACCTTTCCCAGCCTGGCCTTGGTCCCCTGGGACATTGCTCTGGGGACACAAGAGCTCCAGCTCCCTCTTCCACCCCAGCAGCTGCCTTCCTATCATATACCCAGCTTTGGCCTGGCAGGGAAGACCTGTCCCCCCCACTGCAGAGTGACTGGAACAATGCGTGTGTGTGTGTGTGTGTGTGTGAAAACAGGAGAAACCCTGGAGTAACATGGGAAAGCCTACCACAGGAATAGCATCACAAGACACTTTCAAAACAACAGCAGTATTGGTATTAGGTACAGAAAGTGACAGGGAGTTGTTCAAGGGAAAGACATTTCCTGATTACTCATTGAAGCCAGATACCTTCAGCCCAGGGGTGAACTGAACCTCAACAGCAAGGAAAGGAGCTATGGGAGCAACTGACCAAGATCCCTTGCTCTTCCCAGTGCTGTGCTCCAGCCACGTGCTGCTGAACATCCAGGCTTCTGGGTTTCTTCCCATCTTTTCTGTACAACCCAGTGAAATCACAACCAGGAAGCCACCGAGTTCCTCTCTGGGGAACCCCAACGTGCCATGGAAGTGCCAGGTCCTCCAGCAGAGCGGGCTGGTTTGCAGCTTTCACAGCTCACCAGAACTGAGCAGCCTGCAGAGGTCACACTTCATGTGTGTGGATCTTCACTCTAAAATAGAGTTCACATCAGGTATAAAGCCATGTCAAGGCAGAACATCATTTCTGTTCAAGCTCTACCTTCCTCTGTGCCATTGAGCACGCTCAGCCTTGTGTATTTTGGAGTGGGCTCCATCCTGAACAGCTCTGGCAACCTCCCCTGGCTTACAGCTCCAGCAGCCTTGACAAGGGAACAGTCTAGTCTGAGACAACACTCCACAGTCCCTGGCACTGGTGTGGAGATTCAGATGGGAATGAGTTTGTGCCTTCATTTTTTTAATAATTTTTTTACTGTGAGATGCAGGAAAGAACTGAACACTAGAGCAGAGCCAGGGGTTTGCTGAACTCCACTTGAATGGGCTGTGTTCTCCTGCAGGGAATTTCCTCTAAGCAATAAAGGCCTTTCCTTTGCAGGGGAAAACTCTCTGGCTGTGTCATTACAACAGAGTCCACACCCCTGAAACATTTAAGAAACCACTGCAGATTCATCCTCTACATCCCAATAATTGCTTTGGGATTTCTACAGCACCCTGAGAGCACCATGAGCCACCAGGTACAGGCAGTGGGGGCAACTGACAGTACCCAGGGAAGCTGCTTGGACTGGGGGGTTCTGCTGGCAGCCCCCTCACTGTGACACCAGGCTTGAGTCTCAGCTCAGGAGCCTCACCAGTCCCCACCCACCTCTCAGCCCCTTCCAACCAGTCCTGCTGTACTTCTTGAAAAAGATCTTACAGCCACCACTTTTTACTTCATGGCTCTGCTTCATTAAGAGGTTACATGCACCATTCCCTTCAGCTTCCCATTCAACAGCCCCCAAAAAATTCACAACAGGAGTTAGGGGTTAGAAAATTTTATTTACTTTTTTGGTAACAGAACTTCTCATTTACCAGGAAGGATATGCCATCATACTGTGAGGGGGGAAAAAAAAAGAACCAAGTGAGAAAGTATCATCAGGCAAAGCTGCAGCACCACTGAGCAGAAACCTGAGTCACCATGTTCACTCCAAGCCAGGCAGACAACTCTGACAAACACTCTGCTGCTGTGCTGTGAACTTCCAAGGGGCTTTGTTCACAGAAGCATTAAAACTCTGCTCATCAGCCCAGCAAAACAAGCAGCCCCACTCTGCACAATCTGACCAGAACTCTGTTACAGTCCCAGGATTCAGCCCCTGAAGATGTAACTCTGCCACAGGGAAGAAGAATCAGGCAAGAAAGGGGAAAAAAAGCCACTGAGCATTAAAGCCACAGTAGCCAGTAAAGAGCCTCCAGACTGTCCATCTTTTCCACCCCTGGAAAACTACCAGTAGTCCCCACCTCTAAGCATCCTTCAGCATCTCCTATTCATTATCCAGCCTGTGACAGGGAAAGCAATGGAATCCCAAGAACTTGTTCTATTTGGATTGATTCATCCTCCAAGTCTGGCAGCAGAGCTGGGAACTGTGGCTGATAAACCTTAACCCTACCTCAGAATTTGGGATCCACGTACAGAGAACACCTCCAAAAACCGTGGGTGACAGACTGACATAACAGCTGGTACTTCCAGCTATCCTGCAAAAGCTGCCCCTTCAATTCCACATTAAAAAAAGGGGCATGAACAGCACTAATGCTCAAATGCAGCTTCTACTGCCCCAGAGTAGAAAAATCAAAGACTTAAACAGCGATCAAGGTCACAGGGACTTGTTCCAGCCCTTCCACAGTGAAGCATTTTGCTGACACTTGCTAGGAAACTTGGGATACCAAAAGAAAGCTGGATTTTACCTTTTGCTGGAACCAGCGCATGGCTTCTTCCTTCCCAATCCTGTGCTTGGCTCCAATGTTGCCAGTCCTGCGTTTCTTGTCAGCAATGCTGAACCCAGGCCTGCCCAGCACCTGCCAGGAGAGGAGACCCCCCCAGCAGGATTACATTCTGCCATTTATTTTCTTAAAAATGAATAGTTTTCTAGGAGGGAAAGCTATTCCCACATCCATAGGAACAGCTTCCCTTTAATTCAGAAGCTCAGAGGGAGGCACAGCACAACAGAACGACTCCAACAACCCATCCCTCTAAACGCAGGGAAAACCTTCCAGCAACACAGCCCCTCTTCCAGTCCCCATCCCTGAAGCCCCTGCTGCTCCTTCCCTCCCCAACCCTTTGTTATCCCAGGAGGACCACTAAAAACAGTATTTGATTCCAAAGAAGCTTTGTGATATATCACAAATCAGGGATTTTACAGCAGTCCTGGGAATCTCAGTTTAGACTCAGATTTTAGTGACATTTTTCCATCCTCCAGCCCTTGGCAGCCAATTATTGTCCTAAATTCCTGCCAGAGCTTTCCCACAAGCTGCAAGGAAGCAGGGAATACACACCACGTAGAAGTCCAAGCCGTAGATGCCGATGCTGGGATCGTATTTAATGCCCAGATCAATGTGCTCCTGGATTCCAAAGCCAAAGTTCCCGGTGTCTGAGAAGTTGTTTTTTCTCAACTCGTATTCTCGCACCTGAAACAGCCGTTGTCAGTCCCTGCTTGATGGTCTGAAAACAGCTCCACAGCTCCAGACACCAACTGCTACAGCCCCACCACCTGCTTGTGTCCTACCAAGTATTTAGCTCTGAGATTCTGCTCCCAGAACCTGCTCATAACCCACAGATTCTGCTCCCAGAACCTCCAAAAATAAGCATCAACTGCAACCACGGGCTCCTAAATAAGGATCAAATACCAACAAGAGAGGGAACCCATGCCACCCTCACCCCTGAAGCACCCATCTTTGCAGCTGGAATGGACTCAAGTTTTGCTCTCTTCATAAATCAAATACCCAAAGCAGCCCAATTCTCACCTTCAACCCCCTCTCCAGAATCTCCTCTGCTTTGGCCCCACGAACCGTGCAGTGAACAGCAATCTTCTCATTCCTCCTGATTCCAAAGGACCTCACAGTGTATCGTGCTAGGGCAGCAACAATGACACTTAGTTCAGACAATTCCCACCCAAAGGATTCAGAGCCCAGAGAAGTGACTTTAAAGGGAAAAAAAAAAGAACTGAGACAAGCCCGTGTTCCCTATTCGGGGATGAGGGCAGAGCAGCTGAACCTGAAGGCTGAACCAAGGCCTGCAATTCCCACACCAGGGCCCACAGATCAAACCTCCTCACACCAGCTGCCAAGAAGCCTCTTCCTTTGGAGCCACATTCCCACTTCCCCATCCGCCTGCTCAGGAAAAGCAGGAAAACACCCACTGCTGAAGCCAGGAAACAAACCGCTCCTCTGCAGCCCCCTCCTCACCTTTGGAGAAGACGGGAGTCTGGCCCGTCAGCTGCTCCAGCACTTTGGCCGCTCGGGTGAGCCTGTCCCCGCTCTCTCCGACGCAGATGTTGAGGCAGAGCTTGCGGATCCGCAGCTCCCTCATCGGGTTCTCCTTCTCACCTTGGTCTTGCTGCGGAGAAACGAGACGGGGGCGCTAACGGGGGGTAC